ATTTCGGCGATGTATATAAACAACGTCATATTGAAGTAGTGCAATATTTATTAGAACACGTATCGTATTAATTGAATATATTGCATCGCCGAAATTAAAATAATTAATAAAATTAATAAGATATAAAGTTACTAATTTATACGCGTATTAAACGTTCGGTATAAACATATTATATGAGATTAAACTTATTAATAAGTAACATTTTTTGAAAATCAACTACCTGATGCTCACGTTATCCGCTATGCTACTTTAGATAACTCTAATTAAGGGTGCTTCCAAAATACCCAGAGTTGGGTCGAGTTGAGCTAGTTCCACTATAGTATCCGTTACATATACTATAGTGGAACTAACTCAACTCGACCCAACTCTGGGTATTTCGGAAGAACCCTAAGGGCCATCACACACAAAATTACATAGACGCATATGCATAGCATAAGATCATATGGACCAATGAACATTGAATATTAAGTCGCCATATTGATGATTGATACTTAATATTCGATGCTCATTGGTCCATACTATCTTATGCTATGCATATGCGTCTATGTAATTTTGTGTGTGATGGCCTTAACTCTACTCGGACACGGAAAGCAGTACTGAGTTGTCTTAAACCATGAAGATACTAGATGATTGTGCCTATTAAATTTTTCGACCCTAGTGGAACTAACTCGTACTCGATTTAACGTGAACACCCAGTGTGAATCCTCTATTAGAACTTTTAGTGTAATTCAGGGCGGTTTCACCAACTGCGGTTAAACCAACCGATGGTTAAATTCTAACTACCAGAAGTGCCAATATCGAGATTGAATATAAATTGTTCATTGAGGTTCAATGACCTGGTTTACATTGTGCACTTGATATGCGTACTAAATAGTAACTTTCTATTAGATAATCTTAATATCGACGATATATATAAACAACAGTATATTAAGCTGATATAATACTCATCAACAAAACGTATTGTATTGATAAAATGCGTCGATAATATCGATATTAAGATTATCTAATAGAAAGTTACTATTTCGTACGCGTATCAAATGCATAATGTAAACCAGGCCATTGTCGATATTAAGATTATCTAATAGAAAGTTACTATTTCGTACGCGTATCAAATGCATAATGTAAACCAGGCCATTGTCGATATTAAGATTATCTAATAGAAAGTTACTATTTCGTACGCGTATCAAATGCATAATGTAAACCAGGCCATTGTCGATATTAAGATTATCTAATAGAAAGTTACTATTTCGTACGCGTATCAAATGCATAATGTAAACCAGGCCATTGTCGATATTAAGATTATCTAATAGAAAGTTATTATTTAGTACGCGTATCAAATGTCAAGCACGATGTAAACCAAGCCAATATGACACTGGGTGCTTTCCAATTGCTTAACACATCTTGACACACACGTACACAAAACCAGTTTATTGATCACATATTATCTAAAATATCTTGTAAGATAATATGCAACTAATAAACTGATTTTGTGTAACACAGTGTATGCAACTGGAAAGCACCCACTGTTTATAGCACGTAGCATTTAAGTTGGCTACTCTGCTACTTTTAACCTTCGGTTAGCTTAACCGGAGTTGGTGAAACCGGCTCTCAGTGAGCGTGCGCAAAACAGAGGCTTCTCTGACAACGCGAGTTACCTACACTAACCTCAAGTTGTCCATTTTCGTCTAAAGGCTCACGACAGAGGGATCAAGTATGTTGCATTTCTAATAATATCCATTTTAATCCTGTGTATTTGTAAAAATTACGGGAAAACAAAAGACTTGTTAAAATTCTGAATCTTTCCAAAATCTATTATAGTTTATTATATTCCATATTTTTCACGTATTATTACGTGGTGTCTTTATAATATATTGCATACGACTCGGTTGTATAATTGTTTAATATTAAGTCTTAATATTTGTTTATCTCTTTGATTTTCATAATTCCAACTTCATGAAATGTTATTTCAAGGTCTCAGTGGATTTTTTTAATATGATACTGGTATAATACTATAAAAGATAGTTGTAATGAAATATAACCTTAAAATTGACATGCATTATATATTAACGTGCTGTTATTTGATCGAAAATCTCAAAGAAAAATGAAACGAGGATATTATTCGACGAACCCATAGTTCGTTAATATTTTCTATAGAATATCTTTTAATGTATATTAATAAACAACTTTTGTTACAGAATGTTGATGCCCAAAAAGAATCGTGTATCTATTTATGAATACCTTTTTAAGGAGGGTGTTATGGTAGCAAAGAAGGACTACCATGCACCAAAACATCCAGAGTTGGAAACAATTCCAAATCTTCAAGTCATTAAGGCTATGCAGGTAAAAATAAATCTCCTTGACAAAGCATAGGACAAATTCTTATTATGTAGTAGAATATGCATATATTTCCTTCTTGTGCATCATATTTATATCTGTGCATATCTATAATAATATAATTTGTATTTTAGTCCTTAAAATCGAGAGGATATGTAAAAGAGCAATTTGCATGGAGGCACTTCTACTGGTATCTCACCAATGATGGCATTGAATTCTTGCGCGGATATCTACATTTGCCACCAGAAATTGTGCCTTCTACCCTGAAGAAACAGCCAAGGTCTGAAACCACAAGGCCAAGACCTGCAGCAACTAGGAGTGAAGGTTCTAGACCAACAGAGGACCGTGCAGGATACAGACGCGGTCCAGGTGGTCCTCCTGGTACAGGAGACAAAAAGGCAGATGTTGGAGCAGGTACTGGAGACTTGGAGTTTCGTGGTGGCTTTGGTCGTGGCAAAGCTCTACAGTAATTTTTTTATGTAAAATAAATACTATAAATATAAAATTAACGTTTTTTGTCACTCTACAACACCCAATAGTTTTATTAATAGGTATACAATGGGTAATAATTTAATAAGACAAATTTGTTAATTAAGCTTTTACTACTCATTTAGCTATGATTAATTGTACATTTTTTTGACATGGATGCATTATTGTGGAGAAAATAATTGGCTGAATGAAGTTTTATTCAGGACTGTTTATTTCTTATGTATATATATGTAAAGCTGTAGTTCTTTAAATCACATGACATTTTACAAAGTTTATAATTCTTTCACGACATACATTTTATATGGAAGCAAAAATTACGGATTATTACAGTGACATCTCAAGCATATTCACCTCTTTGAAAATTAGACCTAACTATTCAATTATTAGCTAAATTCATTGCATTCAACAAATTAAAAGTTTGCAAATGAAATCATCACAGATTTTTTTATGTTTTTGTGCTTACACGGCAAGAAATCGAGATATACAATTTTTATATAGTCACAGAGCTCTCACCGGTTATAGCTTATATACTCTAGTCCAAATAAATGTCCCTACAACAAAGTACTTACTGCAATTTTCGTAAGCGCAAAGTTTTTTGCATTTTGTGTCAAGATGTTACAATGCAAGTTTAGCAGTAGACACAGGAAGATAATTGACCTTCGTTTATACACTTTAAAGATATACATATAAAAGATTTACTGACTTAATTTGTAATTCAGTTTTTCACACTTGTAAACTATCATATCAACAATATTTTTTGGTTACCATGACTATAAATATTTACATTGGTAACGTTACTTATATTGAATAGATATTACACTAGTATTTATATAAATTGCGAGTTACAAACTACAAGTTACAAATTATAGCACAGAATTTGCATCACTTTAACCTCTTTATGGAGAAAATACATACAGGGATTAAAATAAATATCATTCACGTTTCTGGCCATAGAAGACCAGCAATACAAAAAAAATTCGTTCATCATCACATTGCTACCCTAATTTGATCAAATTTCACAAATCATTATTTTTGAAATTTTAGCCTATTTACACAGCGATTGCTCCTTCAAAGGCCTTATCTTTATATTCTCGAAGAGGCGAGTTGATTTACTCCGCATATCTTCTACTTATCTTCACGCATATAAATAATTCGTCTAAGGGATTCTCAAGTAGATTATCTTAAATTTTTATGATCTTCGTGATGTATTCAAAGCGAATGATTTAAAATAAATCGCTGCTTTGAATAGTTACGGACGCATCGTTTGAACTGTGTTGCACTAGGAAGAAACTACAATTTGTTCAAAAAAATAATTTCTTATATTACAATACTATTATTATGCAGAAGACATCGTAAAAGGATTTCATTGAAAAGCTGAGATAAGAGTATAAAAAGAAATGTATGTCGTCGTCAATTGTAAATTTTTCTCACGATACGTTTTCGTATATCAAGCAGAAACTTGAATCACGCTGGATCCTTGAAATTTTACTACTGAACCGCCCAGTGAACACCAATAGTAACATTACATCAATATTACACAATTTCCTACTCAACAATGTAACTGCTACATAACATATGTGTCATATTGCATTTACATAGTTGTATGTCATATATTGCATTTAGAAATTGTAACATTAATGTTACATCACTGATAGCTGGTGCTTACTGAATGTTGAATGCAATAGGGTTCTAAAATCTATGCACGTCAACTCTATGGCCTGTATTCTGAACTCTCTTTTGTCTCTAAAAGTGGTTTATAGTTAATCAGAAACCTTATAAGCCACTTTTAAAGGCACTTTTAGCAACAAAAGGAAGTTCAATATAATGAGCCTGTCACTAGGTCTGTTCATTTTTTAAAAACCTCTGAAACAGCACACTAAGAGTGAACAAAATGATCTGTCTTTGTAGTTGATCTGACTACACTAGCTTGCACAAGTTTTGTTTCTCTCTTTTTTTTACACCAAAAATTTGTTACCGCTGAGCTAGTGTACAGAATTTGAAAAGAAACAAGTATACAGTTAAGACTCAGTGGAAGAAAGAGAACTAGTGCAAGTTGGTGCAGCCAGTTCAGCAATAGAAAACAAAGTTACAACTAAATACCTTTTGTTTCTTCTCAAGTTTTGAAAGTGTGCTCAGCTGCAAAGAACAGATCTAAGATATACTTGTTTCGCCCCAACTTATCGCACTAAAGCCTGTATTCTTGAAATATTTGCATACACGTAAATTTCATTGCGCAGCTATTTTATATGACTATATCTGCGCAAAGGAATTTACGTATACGAAAGTTTCAAGAATATGGATCCAGTTCAGAGACTCATCGAAGACAAACAAACCTATCATAAATTCCCGTTATTTAGAATTCTACGATTTGGAGTCTATGTACAATCGATATGTAACTGTCTAACATGACAATGATTCTCGCAGATAGATCGTCCCCCAAATTCTCGCAAACCGGTCGCAGATCTAAACCTGTCAGGATTACTCACGCGTCGGAAACGATATGCGCGCGCCAACGCGAATTGACGAGCTATCTTTAAACATTCCGCCAAAACGAGGCGGAAGGAAGATAAAAGACAACGGGAAGAAAGCAACAACGAGGGAGAGGAGTAGGTGGTGGCGGGTAATTCTCGAGTCTACGGCGAATACAGCGCGATTTTAGCCATTGTCGCATCTTACTGTGTCGCAATTTGTGCTCCACAGCAGGCAGTTGCCGCTGCCGCTGTAGCAGATGAGGAAGACAGCGGCGAGGAACACTAGACTGCAGATGGTGCAGGGTTTGCGCTCCAGGAAGAAGCCGATCAGGTAGAGCGCCATAAACATGACGTGGGTCTGCAACAGCGCCGGGTTCACGGGTTTCGGTATTAGCAGCACGGGGATCAGCCACTGTAGGCAGTACATCCTCTCTCTCGGAGTGGCGCGGTCGGAGCTGTGCACTCGCGACGTGTCTCACGTCGAGCAGATATCTCATCTATGACAGGATCTGTTCGGGGGAGAAATTGATAACAATCAACATGAGAATGCAAACTCGCTCGCGAGTCGATTGATCGCACCAGTCGCAGCCGTGCGTCGGACACGGAGATGATCGCTAACCTCATTTGGAAGCGTCGCCGCTTCTGTACATGGCTGTTCGTTGTCACACTCCTTTACTCGATTTCAACGCACATTTTCCGTCGTCGATCGCGTGACCGCCCGCCGTTGTACCGACAGTTTCGCACGATTTCGAGGCTACCTGCCGACCATGAACCAAACGCACATATGACGCCGTCCTCTGGCGAGACCTCGCACTATTTCGATGCGATGCTCGACAACTTCAGATCGCCCGTGGTCCCTGCGCGCGCACACACGTGTGTGAATGTGGTGTGCGTGTATGTGATCCTTCTGGCTCTGCTTTCTTTATCTATATTTCCTGCACAGCTCGTTGCAGTCATCTTTCTTTTTCGCTTTTTCTTTGCGATTCCATCAAAGTCCCAAACATGCATTTATTTCGTTTAGAGTACTAAAAATGCAGTCGTAAGCGAACGTGTTTTCTGACTTGCTGTTTTGCCATTGCGCCAGTCGATAAAGTTCGATTGTTCCGTTTCCCGCCCTCAAACGATTTCGGATACCACTGATCGTTGGTTGCTGTGAATTGACAATGCTGCCGATTTCGTCTATGTTCAGTTGATCCATGTACCGGAATAAATCAGTAAAGGGATTCAAATCCCCTTTAATCGCCTTACCGTCGACAAACGTCGAGGAAATTAAGAATGTGCAAACAAATCAGCAGAAAACACCAGATGATTCCACCAAGAAGCCTCTTAGAACTACCTCACAGATCTTGAGTCTGTTTAAGAAAGCAGTTCAAGAAAACGATGACGAAAACGTCGAAGTGGAAAATATTGCAACAAATAAACAAGATGCCGGTGACCCAGTTGTTGAGAAAAAAACATCGACTGTTACTTTGGAGTCAAAAATGTAAGTATCTTGAAAGTTGTTACAGAAAGATGTTACAGATGTTACAGAAAAAAACATATTTAATTTATAGTTAAGTAATCGTCGATTTTTTACAGTATCTTCAATGTGGTATTTGGCAAGATATCTTCAAAAAAACACAAGACATGGGATGGTGACGGACTGCTAGAAGTGGTTGGGAAAAATGCAGTACTTAAGGTGACAGTTGCATCATCTATAAGTTCTTGAATTCAAGGGATTATTCTCATATTTTTTCTTATTACAATAGGATTTAGATGGTAATATTATTGGGAGAACTACAATCAATCCAAGCAATGCGGTGGAAGGTTCCAGATTGATTATAGCAAGTAAACAAATTGAAGTAAGAGTTTTTGAAGTAATGTTTACTTGTATAGTGTTGTATACACAAGAGAATCTGACAAAGTCAATTTTAGATAATAGATCGAGCATCTGGAGAGTTATTTGTGTCAGACAAGCATACAGAGGAAGCTGTAGAGGAACCATTGCAGAAAAGATTTAAACCATGTCCCACACGTAAATTTGTGCCTCCATTATCATCCACAAAAGGTTTTACAAGTTTATAATAGAGTCAGAAATAAATTGTATCAAGCACACTGAAGTTATTACATAATTTTGCATTGAAGGGTTGATATTGAATTGCAAACCTTTGGTAATGCCATATATAAATCCTTCTGCTGTATGGGCGAGCCACGGAGATTCACAAAAGGAGCAGGAAGTATCAGTGGACTCTTGTTTAGCAGCGACACTCAGAGAACACCAACGACATGGTATTGTCTTCCTCTATGAATGTTTGATGGGTCTAAAAGTGCCAGATTATTTTGGCGCGATTCTGGCTGACGAAATGGGTCTTGGCAAAACGTTACAATGCATTACTCTAATTTGGACAATGTTAAAAAAGGGTCCATACGGTAAACCGATTTTGAAGCGCGCATTGATAGTAACACCTAGTAGCTTATGTGATAATTGGAAGAAAGAATTTACAAAGTGGCTAGGCTGTCACAGAATATCTCCATATGTTGTGGATGGGAAGAATAAGCCTAACGACTTCACTAAGCAACCAAGAAACTCGGTGATGATTATTAGCTATGAGATGTTTATTAGATGTCACACAGAAATTACTGAGATTATCTTCGACTTGATTGTGTGCGACGAAGGTCATAGATTGAAAAATAGCAATATAAAAGCTGCAAAAGTAATTTACCAATTTTACCCAGACAGCACACATATCCAAAACTGGGACATAAGACTTTGAGTCGACTTCAAGAAGTCTGGACATAAGTTGTCTTAAAGATGTCTTAAAGACATTTTATGTCCCAGTTTTGGATATTGTGCTGTCTGGGTTATTTACTCATTGATTGCCATAGTATGAATAAATAACAAGTGTATAAATTTTTCTATCATTTTATCTTGTAGTTATTGTGCGAAATTAACTGTAAAAAGCGGATTATCTTAACCGGCACTCCTATACAAAATGATTTGAAGGAATTTTACGCGCTGGTTGATTTTGTCAATCCCAGCATTCTTGGTACCCCGAACGAGTACAGAAATTATTATGAAGATCCTATTGTCGCGTCTCAATGTCCCCATGCCTGCGATGATGTTCTCAGTCTAGGAAACGAAAGGGCCACAGAATTACACGAGTGTACCAAACGTTTCATTTTGAGACGTACGCAAGAAACAATAAATAAGTATCTGCCGCGTAAACATGAGATAGTGCTATTTTGCTCTCTATCCAGTGAACAAGAAGACCTGTACTCTCTCGTCACCGATGCTCGGTTCGACAGGATTTTTACACAGGATAAAAGCATTACGCACTTGACTGTCATCATGGCACTTAAAAAAATTTGCAATCACCCAAATCTGTTTGTAAACGATAAGGAAAGTGTGCTATATGACGTTCTGTCGAAGACAATGTGTATAACAGGAACGAAGCACGATGAAAATTTTACAAAGTATTGCGGGAAAATCACAGTTGTACAAACGCTGATGAGAAACTTGAAAAAAACTGACGAGAAATTAGTATTAGTTTCCTATTACACGCAAACGCTCGATCTTCTCGAAACTGTATGTAGTATGGAAGGTTTAAAATATTTGAGATTAGACGGTAGCACTTCAAGCACTACACGATCGACAGTTATCGAGAAATTTAATACAAGAACCGATGATAGCAGTAAGTTATATTAATTAAATCTGGAACATATGTATAGATAGATATTGATGCATTATGAATTCAGTGATATCATAATTACAGAAGTCTTTCTGCTAAGTGCGAAGGCGGGTGGAGTTGGTTTAAATTTACCTGGAGCATCTAGACTCGTATTATTTGATTCTGATTGGAATCCCGCGTCAGATATGCAGGCTATGGCAAGAATCTGGAGAGATGGACAGAAGAGAAACGTTTATATTTACAGGTTCGCACAAGTTCGCTATTGTACTACAATGCGTGTAATACTTTGTAACATATGGAGATATACAGTTTTGTATGATTAAATTTGCAGATTACTAACGACAGGTACGATAGAAGAAAAAATTTACCAAAGACAAATCAGCAAAGCTGGCCTAAGTGAATCTGTAGTGGATCTAAACCATCTTGGATCTTTAAAATTATCAGCTGAGGAACTAAAGGTACTTTTTACATAGGGAAAAGTATGATGTATTATAAAAAAAACCAACTTAAATATTTTCCATATATTTCCCATATAATATAATAATATAATTCCATATATTTCCCATATAATCTCCTATATTTTCCATAATGAACTATTTTAATACTATAATTTCTATTTCAGGATTTATTTACATTAACAACCGATACTGTTTCTTTAACGCACGATTTAATGGATTGCTCTTGCTCCGGCAAGATCAATGAACATATATCCCCTGAAAAATTTAAGGCTGGCAATAACGAGACGCGTGATTGCCAATTAGTATTGCAGGACAAATTACCCCAACAAAATTTAACTATAAATCAATTGCTAGATTGGCAACATTATAAGAAACCAATTCCACCAGATATTATGCAGGTAACAAGTTCTTCGAAAGTTGCTGGTAAATGAAAAATTAATTCTAAAACTTATAAGTTTATTTTTTACAGGACATTTTGTTAGCTGAAGTAAGCAAACACATAACTTTCATATTTAAAAATTCCACAAAATAAAATTTCCGTAAAAAATTGTATACAAATCACAATTATATATCACAATATAATATATATCTTTATATTTTATATAAAATATTCGTGTTGAATATCTTTTTCATCCAATACTCTTGAATCCAATACTAATTTCATTTTTATTGAAAAAGAAGTTAGATCAACTTATAAAATTCTCATCTCAAAGTCTACTTTTCTGTGAGTAAAAGTTCAGGAACCTTTCAAATAAATCAGGAGATTCCCATCGTTTCTTTAATTCTTTTACTTCTTCTTCATTAACTCGCAGTAAAACCTCTTTATTCCATTTAGTTATCAAGCGTTTTGTCGCTAATATTGACTGAAACAAATCAGTTTTATTTTCACAACTTAGCAATAGATCAACAAAGAATATGAGAAATGTTAAGGAAAAATAATACCTCGGAGGAAAGTGTAGAAATTTTTTTCAAGTAATTCCACACTTCTTCAAGGACATCATGATCATATACTGCGCTAATTAAACCATATTGTTTGGCTTCAGGAGCATTCATCTGGTAACCCATATACAACATATCTCCAGCCTAAGTAAAGATTTTTACAGTTTAATATTAAAATCTTAATCTCAGTATTGTTACTAAGGATAAAGTTCCAAATGCAAAATATAAGCGATACCTTTGAAGGTCCCAGTAATCTTGGGAATGTATATGTAGAACATCCTTCAGCAATAAGACCCAATGAACTAAATGGTGTACGAAAATATGCCTGCAAGTTATATAATACAATATTATATAATATAATGTTATATAATACATTTATAATTATTTTATATAATAATTATATTAAATTACGTAATATACTTAATTATTTAAATGTCTTAGTGATTGAACATATACCGATAATTGAATTACTAATAATATACTTGTGTTTGTTAAGATGCTTATCAATAAATGAAACAAAATCACAAAGTAACTAAATATTTCTTTTCATTTATTATATTGTTTTGTATATTGAAAAGCATTTCAACAAAGAAAAATACAAAACTAATATGACAATCATTGGGACATGTATGTCCGACTACTGGGATGTTTACCTTATTATACTTACTGTTTTAATTTCTACAATATAAATTTTTCAATAAATACCTTATTTGAAGCGTAAACCATGTCGAACAAGCCTAACATTGTGCAAGCTATTCCTATTGCTGGTCCATTTACAATGGCTACTAAGAGTTTTGGATACATGATCAGAGCATCAACAAATTCTCTGCACAGAAATGTATATATATAATTTCAATATATAAATATATAAATTATATATACTATAAAAAACATTTTATATTCCTATATCAAAAATACAATAAATATATTATCTTTTTCGTAAATAATAACAAAATAATATTAAAATAATATTTTTATAGAGCTTACTTAAATATTAGATTTTTATACTGCATGTCAGTAGAAGAAAGTTCCATTCCTCCTATATTTATGTCAGTGCCACTGCTGAAAAAATCTCCAGTTGCTGTTAATACAAAAAGCAATACTTCGTTATTTTTTGCAGAATCATTCAAAAGTGTTGTCAGTTTTTTGTACATCTGTAAAAATCTGATTATTAATATCTGTACATTCCAATATTTACTGTCAATGCTGAAAAATTATAGTTCATGTTATGTGTACTATAGATTTTCAGTGTTGACAGAAATCTTAAAACACAGCTAATATATATCTTATCTAATTTACTATACATTAAAAATATTGGTAGATTTAAAATTCTTTATATATTTGCTTACCGGTGTTGAAAGTGCATTCTTCTTAGTGGGTCTGTTAATTATTACTTTTTGAATTTTATTTTCCAAAGTATTTAATATCAATGAACTTTCGTCTGCCATTATAACAAATATTTTTGAGCAATTTAAAAGCTGTACAACTTTTGAAGTTTATATAACCTCTTTCTTACTGCGCCGGCTACTGCTTTTTTTCTTTCTTACAATGTTCGCTACTTTTTGCTACTTATTGAGTGTTTTATTGTATTGATAACAGAATATGCAAGTAATTGCATTCAATCAAAATTGTTATATGTAAATTCCCTAGACTACTCAGATAAAATCATGACATTGCAGAAAAGCACACATTCTAATAAAGATAATTACGAGAGCTACGGATTATCTTGTATCATTACGATCTACCAAGTTCTATCGTGATAAACAGTTAAATACGTCAATTTTGGGTGCGTTCCGTTTCACGCATAATGCACATGAAGCGCAGCGTTAGAGTGACAGAAATACGAAAGTAAGATAAAATGAGAGGGAGAGCACTCGGGTGAGGTTCTCGAACCTAGGTTAGGTTAGTTCTCGAACGCATGAACGCATCAGCTCCGAGATAGTGCAGTCTATGCGATCTCATGCGTTCGAGAACTAACCTAACCTAGATTCGACAACCTCACCCGAGAGCTTTCCCTCTCTTTTTATCTCACTCTCGTATCTCTGTCCCTCTAACGCTGCGTTTCATGCGCATCATGCGTGGAAACGGAACGCACCCTTTATAATTTTTCACTCAAGAATGTAACTGTTACATAATACACGTGTTATATTGCATTTACATTATGTATTTGCGTTTATATTGCATTTACATTAGTGAAAAATTATAACATTGATGTTATGTTATTTACTACTTTCTACTCGATTATGGCTTTTTTCTCATGGTGAACAATGCATAAGAATATAAAAAAAGACAAAGAAAGATAAATCATAAATCAGGTCTTTTTGTGACTTCATATATATTCTGTAGAATTGTTAATGCGTTTTACCTTAAAAGTGAAATAAATTTATAAATTAGAGATTACAAATCTTGTTTCGTGCTATTTACTTTTATAATAATGTCAACTATATATAGTGTGGGATATCAGTGTCATTACATGTTTTATTCATATGAAAAATAGTTGTTGCAATATTATAATTTAGCAATAAAAATAAAATAATAAAAATAACTGTTGCAATATTATAATTTAGCAATATTTTGTTTGTTTCTGTATAACAGAAAGATAAATATTTATAGGTAAATATTTATAGGTAAATCAAATTCACAGGAAATACTTTGAGCTTATTGTTCTTCGTTTATTTGCTACTGAATAATGGTTAGTACCAATAAGAAAATCAGCCGTCATCTTCTTTTATACAGGGTGTCCCACAACTAGTAGAACACCCATTAGGGATAAGTAGGGGGTGAAATTTGGAACTGAAAGTTCCTCTTCCATTTTTGGATCCGACAATTAGTTAATGAGATATTAATTAAGTCTGCCAATCCCTTAGCGTCCCGAGTGAGCGCTCAGGGCTGTAGGACGCCATGGACTTCTTGGGGGCCCTGCTTGTCCGTGTTGTTAGAGGTCTTGCTTTTTTCCCCTTTTTTGTATCACAGTGAAATAAATGGATGAGTGAGTGAGTGAGTGGGTGGGTGTGTGGATGGGTACCTGATCGGGACTAGGGGGTGGCAAGTTTTCAACGTGAGGGGATGATTTATGGGTGTTTTTGTGTGCGGTTATGAGTGCATGGATAATTTGAATATTTTTAGTGCAGTGAGCGGAGTGATCGCACTTTATGTGCCGGAGGGGGAGGACATGTGTGGTATGCTTCCTTCGAGTGCGCGGGTGACTTAAATGTTTTCTGCATGTCGGTGATTGAGAATCGTGAATGATTTTAGTGTGCGTGTACAAAAAAGGGAGAAAAATAGACAAGCGGGGCCTCTGAGGAGTCCATAGCGTTCTACGTCTCTGAGCGCTCACTCAGGGCGCTAAGGGATTGGCAGATTTAATTGATAAAAAAAAAAAATATATATAAATTATCCATCGGATAATTAATACATCTCATTAACCATCGGATCCAAAAATGGAAGACGAACTTTCAGTTCCAAATTGCACCACCTACCTACCCCTAATAAGTGTTCTACCAATTGTGGGACACCCTGTATACATTAATGTACTTGTACATCATATTAATTCCATATTTGGTTAAATTTATTTCTTGTGATGAATATATGTATCACAGGATTTCCCAAACTTAAGATGAATAAGAACCAGCTTTTCTAATAAACATTTTTTTTAATAGAATACACCTTTGGTGTACTTTGTAATCATTAGAAAAGTATATCTTTTTATCGTGATTCTAAAGAAGCTTTGTAAATATAGTAGTATTCCTTAAGAAACTGTGCACGTTTTTAAAGAATTCGCAAATAATGTACATAGTTTAGGAAATCCTGATCTATTTATTATGTCGATCATAAACAATAGTTTAGTGGATTTCGTAATCATAGATTACATGGCCGTGTTTACTGTCTGCTAGACAATATTCTCTACAAAAGTTAAGTTATTAGCAGCAGCATTTCGCGTCACGTAAGCCTCATGAAACAGTATACGATCGAATATTTAAATGCGAGTGGCGCGCTCGTAGCTGCAAATTGTTTTAAAGTTCTTGGACGTGTTTTGGCTTTCTGTTTTTAAAAATAATTTGCTTCACAAAAGGATGGAGATATCACCAATAAACAGCCGATGCAAAGCTTTTCAATAACTTAATGTTATGTCTTATTGTCTAACACAAATTATTTGTAAACTTATCATCGCATTGATTTTGAACATCGTAAAAATGAATCTATCATTCTTACATTATGAATTCGCACATCAGCGTGAGCCTTATAAACAATTATAGTGCTTGTATTCATACACTGTTGCGTACATGTCACATGTGACGCTTCATAATTAGCATCATAAATATCAAAAGAAACAAAGAACGCCAATAAATTATGTATGTGTATGAGGAATTGCAAATCGTAAGATTAAATCGTATTGCTATGCGAATGCTTTGGTACGTTGAAGTATTAAAGTTCGGAAAGATAAATAGATACAAATTGTAAGGCTCGTAAAATAAATATATCTCTAATAAGTGTACGCTCTAGCACTCATCCCGGAAGATTTTAACGATTCTCTACTTAACGCCTTTAAAGTCACTATAATTAAATAATCGCAGAATCGGAATCATATCGTTAATGTACATATTAAATCGAAGTAACCATTAATATTTTGACGCATGGTTTAATTAGATATATTACGGTTTGAGGACTTTCTCGATGAATTTCTTAACGTCGTGCATCTCCTGCAAAAAAAAATAACAAAGATTACAACACGATCAGACGGAAATTGTTTCTTGATTTCTTCAGATGTGAGAAGATACAATGCTGCGCGACAAGAATCTTTCCTTATCGGTGAGTTTCTTTACCTCCTCGCAAGACGTATGCATCATTCCGTTGTAAGTTTTAAATTCTGTCTGCATCATGAATTGTTTCAGAAGAGACGCTGTCATTTGACCCCACCTGTACGGCACGATTGGATCACAGTTGCCGTGGCACTGTAGCAACGGTGTATCCTTATTACCTATTGCTTCCTGAAGAGGTGAATTTCGACGTCAATTATAGTCTCACGAATACTACATATATGCAAAGTACAATAATGTTTCTTACTGCTGGAAATTTGTTATGCAGTGGAAGCCATGAGGACATGGCTATAATACCAGCTAAAGGCTCTGGGAATGTAAGGGCACTGAACATAGCTAGCGCTCCACCTTGACTAAATCCACCGAGAACAATGCGTTTTGTGGGTATTCCAGCTGCGACTTCCTCTGCTATTAACGAATGAACCATACCAGCGGCTCTGCGTATACCCTCTTCATCTTCTGGGCCTGTGGAGTCCAGAGATCGTAGATCAAACCTGCACATACAGGATGTATTAATAATGATATAGGTATTAGTTTAGAATTTCTTACCTTAGAAGAAAAAAAGACTGATATTTATTCTATCAGTTTTTTCAGTTATCTCAGGAAATTTCCATTTTTATAGCTGAACTATTTTCACTCAGAATTTGAAACCTTTATACTTTCACTCTTACATTAATTTAAACTTACCAGGAAGGCATTCGAAACCCTGCATTAAGTGTTACTGGCATTGTAGGTCTAAAATATTTAAAAGTTAATATTTTAAAACATTATTGACAGTTATATTAACTTATAGTTTATGGTTATAATGTTAAAAGATATTAACAATCACATACGCAGTAGGACAAATAACTTTGATGTGTGAAGACCGTACAGCAGCCATGGAACTGGCCCAGCCATGTCTGAAAAGAATAAATTATAATTAATTTACATATGAATGAAACAATATTATAATTAATTTATATATGAATAAAACAATATTAAATTAATATCATATTAATGTGATTATATTCTGTATTGCTAATAAAAACTTACCCTGTATCGCCTAAGCCATGGAAAAATATTATCTGGAAACATAAATATATCTTTAATGTAAGATAAAATAAAATAAACCGATTTTTTTTACAAAAATTCTTGAAAAAAATATCTGATATTCTTAAAATTCATATCTTAAAACACAATTTTTTCATCTAAAAAGTACACATTATAAGATAGCCTCAAGCAGTAAAGATAAAACATAATGCAGAAACTGTGATAACGTTTTCTAATGCAGGAAAGATAATTTTTTTTCGTTAATAATTGCAATATTTACTGGGAGATACGATCATTGTTAAACGATTTAACGATAAAACTACACAACCGTCAAAGCAACGAAACAGAGTTATTACGAATGATATAATTGTATATCAGAAAACGCAACAGAAATGTTATCGCAAAAATAATCCACTTATGATCAATTAGAATCACCGCCGCGCGTGAGAAGTATAACCAAAAAAGTTCTTATCTTAAAGAGGTAATATCTACCGTCGCTGTGTGTTTAGCCGTGGCTGAAATTATAACTGGACTCGCCATACTTTGTCGTTTATTTGGACGGCCTGGAACAGATCCGAACAATTGTGTAACAATTTCGTAAAAATCGTAAATATAGAATGACGATACAGAGACGTGACTACTCTTCGCTCTACATCAAGTTCTCCATCGAATACTCCTCATAGTAGGGAGAAATGAAGGTGGAGGGGTACAGAGAAAAAGAGAGAAAGAGAGCGAGCGAGAGAAAGAGAGAGCGACGTCATTCGCACATTCATGTAAATGTTCAAGTGCGATTATCAATTTTATATTGATTTTCGTTAACCTTTATGATTACATGGATGTTTTATGTAAATGAAATTTATATGACTCGTGACAAATACAAAATCTCAAAGAGAAATGTACGAGAAATTTTGTTGAAAATTTCAACAATTTTGTTGAAAAAATAAGTTGAAAATAACTAGTGCCTAAGTAACAGGCACGAACCTTTAAATAACAAATTGCCCATAGTAACTTAAATGATACTTCAACATTTGTCGAAATATGATCCTAAATACAATCTTGAGAATCGAAAAAGATTCTTGTTCTTTTTTCTCTTTTTTGACGATTAAGATACAATAATTTAACACGTGTCCAAAGAGCAATTATAATTAATTTCAATCGTCAAATTTCATACAGGATTCTCCTGTATGAAATTATTCGCGTATCGATTAGTTTGAAAATAGTTTCTAATAAAAATTAGATATTTCGATTTGAATCAAATCGATTTATAAATGTTTGCTAAATGAATCTATAGCGAGTCGTTATGTAATAGAAGGCGTATCATAATATAACTCTGTTCTTTTAAATTGCTTACTGATAACGGTTTTTCCTTTTTCCCGCCAAAACATGTATATAAATATATACTTGAGCAGTGTTTCAGTCCATTTCACGAACATGCGCGTATTTATCTATAGCTCATGTATACTAAGGTGTCCCGGAAAAACCAAAGTATCTAAAATCTTTGTTCCCCAGGCATTTTCTGGTGATGCCTGGTCTAAAAACTCAAAATTAAAAATTTTGGTTCAAAATTCCAACTCTAACCCTTGTTCCAAGAAGATTCCCAGACAGCACAAGAACGTTCCAGGGATATTCTGAGGATATTGGGACGTTCTCAGAACGTACTCAGGACGTTCCCTGGATATCTGTGCTGTTAGGGTTAAAGTTTACGCTTTTCGCTAATTTTGACGTATTTTTTTATATTTTTTAATTTAATGTAATGATTAGGTATTATCGAATTATAGTTGTATTTCATTTATATTTAACACATAATTCCACAAAAAAGTAAAAAATATACTTTGTTACATATTTAACACATATTTATTTTAGAAGCTTCTACTCCGTACAGTTTGTGGCAAATGCAGCAGGAACGTACCATATTATTTATCGTATATGTATATGCACACGAAATGATCAAATAAAACTGCAACCTGCAGCGTAAACGAAATAACCGAATAAAACTACCGATGCACGTTGCTTTCCCCTCATCTCGTACACGCATACTCGCTTCGTTTTCACCTATCCTTTCAGTTCTCACCACGCGACGAAAGAGAAGGACGGCGAGTCCCGGAATCATCTCTCTATCCTTTAGATCTTTGCACGCTGCCTCTTACGTTAGGGGCCAGTCTATTCTATAAGTCTATGGTCTCAAAACGCAATGCATCTTTTTCTACGTGCTCTTATCCTCACTCCTCAAATATAGACAAATGCTTGGTCTAGATATATTACGTCTATGGTCCAAAATGTGTGTGCGAGAGATAGCTATACCTATTCCTATTCGTCCTCTCTGCGCGTGCGTTGAAGTTGACAGGTTAAGTTAGGTTATAAAGTTGAGACAAAAGGAGATAAAAGGAGGAGATAAAAGTAATTTATTTTCTTCTCATAGAGCTCTGAGCATTTTTTCAGAATTTTGTATTAACTTTCTAGTACTTCAAGAAAATGCAAGAAAACGCAAGAAAATGCAGTACTAGAAAGTCAGTACAAAATTCTGAAAAAATTCTCCGAGCTCTATGAGAAGAAAATAAACAATTTTTATCTCTAGCTATTTTTCGGTAAAGTTAATGGAATTCAAGTAAAAAAATATTGAAACCAATAATTTTGCAGCCCAGCAACAACTGACGCATGTTGGTGTATGCGCACAGAGGATGAATAGGAATGTATACCTTTCTCTCTCGCATATATTTTGGACACACTTTTGGTCTACAGGAGGCATACGCAATTCCCCCTCCATATATGCTCTAAGGTCGGAACGCAACCGATAGTCTAATGAGGAGAACTCATTGGCCTAATTTACATCGCGCACTTGATACGTGTACCAGGTACTATATTCGTATCAAATTCGTACTAAATATTTAATACGCACGATGTAAACACTGACAGATCAATTTTGTACAAGCGTACTAAGTAGAAATATCGTACTAAACTAATACGCGTATCAAATGATACAAATGACGATGTAAACATATAAAATGAATGTTAGAGGAAATCTAACCTAATTAAAATCGGTGTTATCAGTAACCGTTGATTTCTCTCAAAGTATATTATAGTAAAATGTTTGTAAAAAGGGTTATAAGTTAGAGAGAAGAAGAAACGGGAACATTTTTTGAATTATGTATTCTGACTGTCGAACAAAGCTATCTCAAGCAAATTGCAATTTCAAATACCGCCACTAGGAAGCAATCAGCATGAATTAAATTCGTATTATATTTTTCCTTTAGTACGTTCGATGTAAACGCATCCGTATTAAAACATTGGTGCGCATCAAATTTAATACGCGTACTAACGTTTTGACGATGTAAACCAGGTCATTCTCGAAAAATAAATTCTCTCATTGGCTTGGTTTACATCGTACACTTGATACGCGTACTAAATAGTAACTTTCTATTAGATAATCTTAATATTGACAACGCATATCACGACGACGCATTCAATCAATACAATACGTTTTCTTGATGAGTATTATACTAACTTATATACTTATATACTAACTGATATACAGTTGTTTATATATATTCGTCGATATTAAGATTATCTAATAGAAAGTACTACTTAGTACGCGTACTTAGTACTTTAGTACGCGTATCAAATGCACGATGTAAACCAAGCCATTGGCTCCTGCACACAGGACGCGGTAATGCTTGCCGCGCGGTGGAAGTCCGCGCGATAGCCAATCAATATGTTGCTTTTCCGTAAGAGCTAGAAGGTTATTATGGAAAGCAGCATATTGATTGGCTGTCGCGCGAACTTCTGCCGCGCGGCTAGCATTACCGCGTCCTGTGTGCAGAATCCATAAGTATGGTTGCTTTCCAACAAGAGACGCAAGTCGACACAAATATCATTCTATTTTTGTTCCACATTTAGTAAGTACAAAGATAGGATGATACTTGTGTCGACTTGTGTACTTTGTTGGAAAGCAACCTATATACGTCATTGGCTCCGAGAACGATAATTCATGTCACAAGATTCCATTAGCTAATCACAAAATTTATATGAAAATGTTCGATCAATGAACTTGATTTTAATAACTCAGAGTCGATTAACCCAGAGCCACTCGAATACATAAGCTTTAATGAAGGACTCATGGCTCCTGCACACAGGACGCGGTAATGCTTGTCGGCGGAAGTCCGCGCGACAGCCAATCAATATGTTGTTTTTTCGTAAGAGCTAGAAGGTTATTACGGAAAGCAGCATATTGATTGGCTGTTGCGCGAACTTTCGTCGCGGGGCAAGCATTACCGCGTCCTGTGTGCAGAAGCCATCACACTGCGTCGGATATCGACGCAGTGTAAATTCTTCATAAGCATATTCAGAAATGTAATAGCTAATAGGATGGCCGTTTCGAGTATGTCATGGCTGCGTTCCAAAACTCTACTCGACGGATAAAGTAGCATTTAATTGACCAATAAGAGCAAAGATAACTAGGATTTCTTTATCATGATTGGACAATTAAATGTACTCTACCCGTCGAGTAGAATTTTGAAACGCAGCCCATAGGAACGGAAGATTCCAGGCTGCTACTCCGTTACCGTGGTTCCGACAGTTGTCGGATCGGTAGGCGTCGTTGCGCAGTTTTTCCACGGTATAAAAAAGCTGCGCAACGATGCCTACCGATTCGACAACTGTCGGTACACGGGAACGGAATAGTACCCCAGTAGTCGACAAGATGGAGGTTCAACCCCAGCCAGGGTTACATGACATTTTCCCGAAAACAAGATGAGAAAATGGTGGTATCAACAAAAACCCCAAAGCAACAATTTTAATTTCTGCGGATTAGTGATACTATTGAAGTAGCAAGTCCATGAATTTTGCGGAGTCGTTTGACATATGCGTGTGTATGTGTCAAGTAACAAACTGTCACTAATCCGCAGAAATTAAAATTGTGTTGGGGTAGGGGTTTTTGTTGGTACCAACATTTTTCCATCTAGTTTTCGGGAAAATGTGTCAGAAACCTCAGTCAAGTTAGCCACACACACTTTTCGTAACAGTAACCGTAAGACGTAACGTAAAAATTGACCAATTACGATCGAGTATTCATAAAAATGGCGACCTTACGATTAGACGATTCTCAACATGATTGGTCAATTCTTACGTTACGTCTTAAGGCCAAATCACACTAGCGATTGGCGATTGATGATTGACAATTAAAGATTAGATTAGAGAAAGACGAATCAACAAGCTGCAGCCTTGGGTTGCTTTGTTCTAGTTGGTCAAGTTCCAATCTTCAATCGTCAATCATCTATCGTCAATCGCTAGTGTGATTTGGCCTTTACGATTACTGTTACGGAAAGTGTGTGTGGCCAGCTTCAGAAATGGTTCGTCAATCGATATCGAATCGACGTCGATTTCATGATTTCGATGTCGATTCGACGTCGTTTCAACATCGATCAACGAATCATTTCTGACTGGGACAGAAATTCGACGCATTTTTTTTATTCTTCAATTATCGTATAACAGAAACGTATGTATTAAAATCTCATCTTAAAGTACAAATAAAGTACAAGTTACAAATCATTTGTTATCATTTAACGATTATAATATGAATTGGATCTCAACGCGCACGGCGTGGCACACGCGAATGTGATACGAACAGAATGCGAAACTTCTGCAGCATGTTGTATTCTCGTCTACACATTTTCCGTTTTTCATGACGATATATTTGAAAATGTTTCCTGCGCACTTACAGCTGTGAAAAACCTGTTTTTTGTGTAACTTGCAGTGATCGTCGAGTAAATTCTTCCTTCCCAATGCAAGGTGTAAGAACAGCTTTGACAAACTGATCCCCTGTGTAACTCTGTCTCTATGTAATAAACGTAAAAAGTAACCCGTTCCCTTCAAGGTAAACGTTGCAGTAAACAATCGTACATTTTTATGCATTATGATCGCGCATAGTGATTCTAATTAATTAATATATTTGTAACGTTCCTCTTGTCTTTCGTTTTTCTCCCAGTCGCAATAAACAAACGTCCAACGTTCGCACGGCATGTATAGGTTACGAAAGAGAAAGTTGCGAACAGAGAAATAATACTCCGACTAATAGCGTCTTCCGAATTGGCTGGTTCTTTGAGCAACAGACGACGATAACGCGATTTGCTTACTTCTCTATGTATATGTGCATCTTGTTATTCTGATGTTAGCGGTTGAATTCATATTCTTGCGTAATAATCGCTGTTACAATATCGCCTGAGGACGTACGATTGATAGTCTTGCAGTTTGTTAGGTGATTGTAAAGAGATCAATTGCGAGATGACTCCAAGGATAGTTGTTGTCGGTTCGTGCATGATTGACTTTACTTGGTGAGTAAGAGTGAAGCCCCTCATATGTACAAAAAGTAATATAACATGTGGCAAGCTGTTGATGTAACGTCTGAGATTGTTGGTTATGATTACATCATATATTACAGAGATTGTAATATGCAATGTAATCGTTCAGTTCCATTTTAGTTTCTCTCAACGTTTGCCTAAGCCTGGTGAGACAATAATTGGGACTAGATTTGAACAGAAATACGGTGGTAAAGGTGCCAACCAGTGTATAGCGGCTGCCAAACTTGGTGCATCTACAGCACTTGTAGCCTCAGTATGAAAACTTGTGGTTTCTCTTTTCTTGCACATATAACATCATATTATAATTTAATTTAGTTATTTTCTATCACAGTTAGGTTCTGACACATTCGCTCAAGAGTACTTAAAGATTTTGAAAAGGGAAAATGTAGACACGTCTCATGTCAAGATAGAAAAAGATAAGCATAGCGGTATTGCTCACATTACTGTTGCTGAGAATGGTATGTTTTCTTCTTTTTAACAACTATTTAATATATGTAAAACTCGCATCTAGAATGTCCTGAAACCATATGTTGTGCTGTACATATCAGGAAAATATGTGCAGTAACTTCAGATGGTGACAAATAGTGTACAATAGTGTAAATGATGACGGAAATGATAGAAGGAACATTAATCATTTCCCTCATTAAGATAATTCGAATATTTTTTTGCCGCCAAGAGATAATCTGCCAAGATTATCTCGACGCCTTTGTCGAGTAACGTTTTGCAGGCGAGAACAGTATCGTTATCGTGTTAGGCGCAAACGAATCGTTAACGCCGGAATACGTGGACTCTGCCACTAACCTGATAAAAAATGCCAGCGTTTTGTTATGCCAGTTTGAGACTACGTTGGAGACTACGTTGCACGCGTTAAAGTTACACCGTGGCCATGGTGCGTTTTTTATATTTTTATTCCATAGTATAAGAGAGTATGAGAGTCCTTTATATTTTTATCTTACAGTAAATCGCTATTTAAATCTTAGGGTCAAACTATATCGCAAATTCCGAAAGAAATAAGATTTAACATTCAAAGCATTACTGCATTATCGAGAGTAAACATGAAAATTATGTAATATACGAACCAGTGAACGTCAACTGTTAGCAACATAATGTCAATGTTATAATTTTCTACTCAACGATGTAAATGCAACATAACGCGAATGCGTAACGGTTACATCGTTGAGTGGGAAACTACACCATTGATATAATATTAGTGTTAGTTGGTGTTTGCTGAAGAATACATTATCAAACGCACGAGTCTTTTGAGTGTAAGATGCTCAGCGCTTCTACAAAAAACCTAAAAAAAAGCACTCTTATCTCTCTTAATTGCGACTTGCGATATCGCGGCTCCGAGCTGTAGATGTGTATATATATATATATATATATGTGTGTATGTATGTATGCTGTATGCAAACGCAACACAACAGGACTGTCGATTGTCAACGGGGCGCCCGCGATAGAGAGCGTCGATCCGAAAATCCTGCAATTGTGCGATATTTTCTGCGTCAACGAGACGGAGGTGCGTAGACAATCGGACAATATTATTCCGAGGTAACGGGAAAGCGACTCAATATCCGCGGTACAGAATATCCAGGAACTGAACGTAACGACGCGTGCCGCGCGCGTGAATTAATCGGATATGCATGTAACGTTCTCGGCGTACAAAGGACATTGCACGCTTTCACAGGCGGAAGTCATGACGGGCATTGGACCCGTTAACTTGTCAAATGTACAGCAAGTCGCGGACAAGTTCCTGGCCAAGGGATGTCGCGCGATTATGCTGACTCTCGGGCCGCTCGGGGCTGCCTACGCGTCGAGAACGAGCAGGAATGTCACGCGGATTCCCACTGTTGCGGTTCAAGCCGTAGACACCACTGTACGTATCACGCGCGCATCGGATATCCCGGAACCGTCGTAGTATCGCGGTTCGCGTGAATTTTCTGACGAATCCCGATATCTCTCGAGGAAGTTTAAATAAGCTCGCTATTATGTAATTGTAACGATTCCGGAATACTTTCTATGAGACTTCGTCGAGCGACAAGTTCTGACGAGAGCCTGCACACAGGGTGCCGGGGATGCGTTTCTGGGTGCGCTCGCATATTTCAAGGCGTATCATCCGCAGCTATCGGTGGACGAATGCATCAGGAGAGCCTGCGCGGTCGCCACGCATTCCGTCCTTAAATTCGGCACACACGCGAGTTTTCCCACAAGAGACGATCTTCCAACGGACCTGTTCGTGTAAATAAAACGGGTAATTACAAGGCTTCGTCTGACGATATTATCTTATCTTCTTGTTGCATTTGAAGCCTGGTTTATGTGTATGCGGGGTTTCCCCAAATCGTTCCGCATATTTTACGAATAAATCGACGCAACTTTCGCGCAAAAAGACGTACACACATTATACATATTCCAGGCTCCAGAATCCAAAACTCTATGCCTCCTGTATATTATTTTAGATCCCAAAATTCAAAATGCGCATAAGTAGTGCCATTGTCCCCCCCCCCCCCC